AATATAATGAATACAAAAATAAATCCTCTAAAATCATATTGACAATAGAAAAAATAAAATAATAAGGGTATAATAGTAACAACTAAGAAGATGGGAAGAAACATGTCTTGCAGTAGAATATGTGCACGAATTGCCGTAATTGGAGTGGAAGAATTCAAAATCTTTCCTTTTTTGGTTGTGCATGAACTTTAGCATTGTTGCAAGTGTGTGGTTGTGACAACCCGTATATAAATTAATCATTAACACATTAATTAGGCCGTAAATTATAATTCTATATAATTCAGGGTTATTTTTTTAAAATTTCAAAAAAAAAAATTATAAAACAAATGAAACTCAAATATAGATTCTTTACATGAAAACGAGTTAAATGATTATAATATAAGTCATATTTTGGGTTGAAATAAAATATCATAATAATTTTCAAGTATTCAAATGATATAACACAATGTAAAATAAATGTGACATGTACAAATATATAATGTATGGAAAAAAAAAAGGTGACAAGTGGCATTCAAATAAAAAAGAAAAAAAAAAAAAAGCTTGAACAAGACTTGAACACTTGTCCATGTGATGCATTTCTTCTATCACCACATGACTTCAACGATGGTGTAATGAACTTGGAGCCCAAGGCTCTCATGCCAAAACTCATTCTATAAATAGAGACTCCTAGGCAGTGAGCAAATCGTGGAGGAGAAAGGAAGAAAGAGAGAGAGGGAGAAAGGTAGAGACAGAGAAAAAAAAAAGAAAGAAAGAACAATAGGGAGATTTTGGGTTCAAAGTAAGATGATGATTTTAGTCTCAAATTTTATAAAAGTTGCCTATATCGCTATTAGAATGATGGTGATTAAATTTATTGATATCAATTGGTGATTGGAGGTACATAGGAGTATACAATATACTTATGTTTTTTAAATCTCTTTGTAAGAAGTATTCTTTGATTATCTGAAATTTGTATTCCTATTGATTATTCTAATTGATACGAAATTATGTTAATTTTATCAGTTGACCTGTTCATTGGGCTAAATAATTTGAGATTAATTGGTACACGTACGAAGTGTACTTGATGCATAATTGGTGAAATGTGATTATGGCCCTGTAGGGTGCGATTGTGATTACAGGCCTTCGGGGTGTAATTAGTTATTATGTGAATAGATTTATATGTCTATGTGTCACTTGTTATGTCAACAAGAGGAACCGAGTATGCAGCTTTGTTTGATAGTAGTTGAGCTGTGTGGCCCGTCAAATGTGATTCTTGATTTCGTTATTCATAATTCTTATTATCTGAATTATTTGGCTTCTAGTCATTCATATTTTTTTTTTCGTTGAGTATTTTGTTTTCTATCATATTGTATACGTCCCCGCTTTTAATAATTTTTTCAGGATAATCTTGGAGGAAACGATCAAAGTTAATATTTGAGAAATCGAAAATGGACGAATATTGATATAATATTTTTTTACTTTTATTAATATTTGGAGATCAAAGTTGTGATTATAAATTTATTAAGGTAATTAAAACTTTGTTCCTGTATTCATAGATATTTGTTATTTATTGTGATTAATTGATTTAATTAAGTAATGCGTTCCGAAAATGGGGCATTACAGTGGCTGTTCACATTCTTATATAGGAATGCTTGGGAAGGCTGAAAGCTATGCTTTGGGAGGACCTGCTGCAAATTCAACTGGTGCACAGGTCCATTTTTCAGCCCTCTGTCAATCATATCCATGAGGGGCATTTCAAAAATCAAAAATTACTATTTTTTTAATGCTGTTGAAACTGCTATGAATGTGTAATTTTCATGTGGGATTTTTTCTCTTTAAGTCTCTTATTGATTTCAGACTTTTGAAGTACCAGTATTTGATCAGCCAAAGGTAGAACCAAAAATTATAATTTCAATCAATCTGGGTGGAGGTGTTGGGACTTGCCTCTTCCCTCTTACCAAAAAGCGTTCAAAACCAGCCGTCAGAAAAAAGCCCTCATACTCTTCCCTTTCTTTAATGTTTCACTGTTTAATTTGATTTTCAATAATTTTGATTGATTTATGGGGGTTAGATTCTTTGAAGTTAGCTTTAGTTTAAGAATATGGAGGAGCATTAAGCGGAAATGAATGGTTTAACTATAGTTGAATATTACCCCTATACCTGAAATTATAAAGCACATCTAGATTTGATGTTGAAACTCTTTTTAAAATTCTTCAATAAATATGATGATGAATTTATAATGTTCTTTATTCCAACCACATGCTAATTTGGATTGGTTTGCAATCTCAATAATGCAATTGGAGGATGTTATCGGCTAACTGACACACACAAACATCATGTGATTTCACATATGAAACATTATGAAGTTTTTGGAACCGCCAGTGCAGGTAGAGAATTTCTTCAGTATCAATGTGATCTTCACAATGTGGGATATGGGTGGACAAGAAAAACTGATGCCACTATATGGAGGCATTGTTTTAATAATACGGATGGACTGCTAATGATTGATCATTGCAGTCATATATTGCTGGATGTTATTTTTGATGTTCATTTTTTCCTTACTGGTTGCATTGTTTTTGTTTTCATTTAGGCTGTTTAGCTGGATAGGCCCTTTAGCTCTTAATATTTTTCATTGGTCGTGTCAATGAAAAGTAGCAAAGAACTATAACTGATGCTCATAATGAAGTTTCTGAACTCAACCAATCCGTTTCTCTGTGTTGATCTCTTTGTGTTTTATCATTCTAAATTTATGTTGATGACTCTTTGGATTGAGAGGGGATTGTAAACCAAAGACAAAGTTTTAGGTTGTATATTCTAGATGGAAACTACCATCAACTCAAGTATTCCAGTTGGGGACATTGTTTTTAGTTTACCTACTAAATTTTTTTCCAGCCCATCATTAGAGATCTGTTCATGCTGAACAGTCTCATCTTGGTGTTTGTATTAAAACGTCAATAAAACTCGTAGTGGTAATCTCAACTATTTTCTTTGTTTTGTCTTGCCCTTAAACAAAAAATTGCCACTAGGCAGTGTCACAAAACTTTCCATGTACAGGACATGAGAAAAAAAGGTATCCATCTTCAATGGAGGATAATTTCAATGAATTTCAAAACAAAATCATAGTGTTTTATTATACATCAAAAATCTTCAACATACAGATTTTTTGTGCTACCATCCATAAGTAATCATTGTGAATTATAATTTTGATTCATTATAGTCCATGTGTAACACACGTATGCATCAACTAGTACATGTAAGAGGGGCAATCAAGCCATTTTGTTTTTATGTTTGGTTGTGTTATGTACATATCAATTTCAAATCGATACTTCGATATATATATATATCTCAATCTCATTAACTAGAGCAAAGTTTTCATTAGAGAGCATTTTGTTGCCTTCACAAAAGCCACTTTTTAATGAACAGTCATGTCCTTTAAACAAAATCCAGATCCTATAAATACCCTAGCCAATCCAAGCTTCTCTTCTTTCTTTTTTTTTGGGTTAATAAACTTGTATTGATTTCAAAAAGTAGTACATCAGTAAGCACTATAACAAGTAAAAATCCCTCATGGGGTACAAAAGAAATCTGGGACCAAAGCTTTGTACCTAAGCTTTACAACCAAAATCATGTACAAATGCAATATTCAGAAAGCAACCATTGTTGAGCTGTTTGTCTGTTTGATGTAGTATCCTTGATCTTGACGGACATTAGCCTTGATCTTTCAATGTTAATAATCACCTTCTGGATTCTAGTTTGATCTCTATACTCATTCTTGAATACTCTCTGATTCCTTTCTTTCCAAATGGAGTACACTGTGGCAGATAAACTCTCTGATTCATCTCTTTCCCAGCTTCTCCCCTTTTTTGAATCAAGAAGGCTTAGAATCAAAATCCAGATCCTATAAATCCTAAATGGCTTAGAATAAAGAATGTTTTCAAATTTATGGAGGTTGTTATTCATATTCTGTTGTAGTTCAGCTAGAAACACATCAATTTTTGGAGCATCTCAAAACTAAAAAGTAAAAGTAAGAGAAAGGAATTTCCGACATAAACGAGTATATAAGGTTTTCTCCTATAGTAGGATATAGGAACAATAAATATTAGGCAGACTTACTCCTACTTTAGAAATGATTTTCAAATCCGAACTCACAACGCATGACTGGCACGTACTATTGCAGGCTCATACTACACCTTATTGTCTGTTTTGTGGGACAAAATAATGATATTTCCATCTTTAATGATGGAAGAAATTTTTAGGCAATCAACATATCCTTTTCACTCAAATTTAAGGTAGATAACTTGAATGTAGTCAATGTACCTTAAAGATAGTAACATATCTTTTACATTTATGCTAACCATACGTAAATTTGAGGTAAAGAAAAGTGACACCACCAGCAACAACTAGGGTAAAGAAATGCGACACAATTGACACGTGGCTGTCACACATATTGGAAAGCATAGTAACTGCGTGCGACCATGGATTCAAAAAGGGGTATAACGTGAAGCAAACGCAGAAGCAAAGAAAGCAAGAAATAAGTAAAAGGTGTGCAGTTTGAAGATGTATTAATGGCGAAGATTGTGTGGTGGCAGAGGCAGATGCACATAATCAAGTGGGTGCAATAAAAATAGGTGGAGGTGTTGAGAGATGGGTAGGTCTGGGCGTTTAAATTTTAAAATGATTTTGAATATCCTTTGTGTGTTTCTTGATGTTGCAATTCCATAAGCACATATTTAAACAGTGATTGTAGATATAAATCCTAAGCATGCAATCATGATAATGATCTGAAGTGTTTGGGTGTGTGTGCGGAGGACGAATCTCCCCAAATAATTAACTAAATGGGTGTGTGTGCGGAGCTTAATTAACATTCACCCACCTCCCTTTCTCAGCATTCATTCACACACACACACACAGAAAGAGAGAGAGAGAGAGAGAGAGAGAGAGAGAGAGAGAGAGAGAGCAAGTCCTCATTACAGGTCATTTTCTTTCCTTCCATCTTTGTTGGCCTGTTTTGTGGTTATTAAGAGGTGTCTCTGATTTGGTTGTGGCCTCTGTTTTGCTTTTGTTAGTAATGGAGTTTTAGTTTCCTCAGTTTCTTTCTTGGCACTGAATGAGATGGAAATTGTTCGAAGGAAGAGAGGGTTTCAAGCTCTTCTCCCGCTTCTTCTATCTTTTTTCATTGTTGTTTTCCCCCAAAGATCTTTCGCCGTTTCGAGTTTAAACTATACAAAATATAGACAAGTAGGGAGTCTGAGACTTGCAAGGATACAGAGGTATTTGGATCAGATTAAGAAGCTTGCTGTCCTTACCATAGAGGTATGAGTTCATGTCAAATTTTTTTTTTTTTTGGGGTTCTTTGTCTATGTTTTGCCTGTGTTCCATATGGATTTTCCTTATTTTGGTGTTGTTTGCTTCATTTTCAGAGTCCAGATGGAGATATCATAGATTGTGTTCATAAAGGAAAACAACCAGGTTTAGATCACCCTCTTCTAAAGAATCACAAGATCCAGGTACATAATCCAGAACAAAGAGCAGAATTTGACCTTTTCTCTCTCTCTCTCTCTCTCTCTCTCTCTCTAATATGGGTTCTAATTCAACAGAGAGTTCCACCAGAAAGGCCCAAGATGAGAATGATTAAAACAGATGAGGTAATAGTAACCAACAGGAACAGTGATGGGTTTAGAGGTGCATGGCAAACGTGGCATCAGAATGGGCTACGGTGTCCCAAGGGAACGGTTCCAATTCGGAGGAGCACAGTGCATGATGTTTTGCGAGCCAGGTCTCTTTATGAGTTTGGCAAGAAGCAGCGTTCAATAGCGGTCGCTAGACGCAGAGATGCACCAGATATAGTGAGTGGCAATGGCCATGAGGTATCTTCACCCTTTTCAATCCATAAATTTAAAAATACGTTCCAAAACTTCAAAAACCATACTTATAGTCTTTGTTTCCATATATCATCAGAATTGTCTTCCTCTTGGTTTTCTAAGTACTTGCCCAATTCCATTGTCACCCGCATGTCCAAGAAGCCTAATGAATGAAAACATCAAATGTCTTGAGTAAATTTTGCCATTTTCAACAACCAACAAGCAAATCCTCTTCAGCTGTTATATGTGCCTGGTGACTTAAAAAAAAAGTGTTTTTTATACTTTTAATTTATCATAAGTACTTTCATAAAATAAAAATAGTGTTTAGGATGACTTATTAAAAATACTTTTGAAAAAACAAAAACTATTTTACCATTTAAATAAGCCAAAAAAATAAAATTTTTATTTATAAAAATGTTGCATAATCTAAATAAAACTCAAAAATTAAAACACAAATATATATCATATCTTAAAAAACCTAAGTGGGTGAGCATAGGGTGAGGAAAGCCTCATTGCATCACGGGATTGGCCTTTTGGGATTTGCAATCTGTAATAATGGGTTTGGGGTAAGAGGATGTCGGTTATCCAAATCCAAGTTTATAAACTTGGGTTACCCAAATACAACAGTTAGTTTCCTTTTGAAAAACAACGGATAACCTTGTAATTCAAAGAAAATACACAAATATCCCAATTCCAAAATGAAATTTTTATGAGGTGCAAGGATAAACTTGGAAGGTGCTAGGTCATTTTAATAAGATTTTTTATGTATGATATTGTTTTGTGTATCATTGTATGTGTAGTATATATTTGTATATATGCATTCAATGATACTAATAATTGTGACACAGATAAATATTTTTTTATATAAATATATTAATTTAAATATTTTTTATTTTAAATATTCAAATAATACTTATTTAATAAAAGTGTTTTTCTTATATAATACCTTTGATAAACACTTATTGAAACAGTAATTTTTGGATTTTAATCCAAATTATTCGGTGTGCATATATACATTTAGATTCGTACAAAAAATAGTATGTCTTAATCTTTCTATTATTACAACTAATAATTTGAGTTGCACATTTATAAAAGCACAACAATATGGTTGAAATTAATTCAATTTTCATCTAATTTCATGTAACGGTACAAAATTCGTTCAAAAAAAATTTTTCTAGCCCAAAAAGATCATTTTCTCAGCACCACCCTTGATATACAACAACCCAACTTACACGCCCTCTAATGTCAAATAACTCCATCTATCTCTCTCTTTTCTATTCTATCCCTCTATCTTATTATCTTTATGTTCACTCCAATTTTAAATTGCGTAATTAGAGAAAAAAAATAGATTACTACTTAAAATGCAAACATTACACAATCAATGTTGGATTCTGCTATTGCAGAATGTTTTTAAACACAGAGTTACAGTATAGTAGATAACGGAATTCTTGAAACATTATACTCCATCAATATAATATTCGTATACCAACTAATTATTCTTTTAAGGATACCATATAATGGATCAAAATGGGATTTGATTAGTAATTTTCAGGCCCCCATTATGTTAACTCTATTTCATTGTGTACTCATTCATTGTAGATATTTTTACCATTATTATCCGAAGGAGATAAACTTAGCTGCATAAATGGATATAAGTTAGATCATCTAAATTGCAATTTAGACAATTTCAATCATGTAAAAATTATGTTGTATTCTATATAGTAGAACACTATAAAGCCACTAGTATGTCTAATTGATGAAGCTAATGATGGAGGATTAAATTTGATCAAAATTCTTTAAAATTGGAAATAAAGTGGAGCAAAACCAGAATCATGAAAAATTAATTAAAGAAAGAAGACTAATGGACTGCACATTCTCACGATTATAGCATGCGATAGCATACACTGGAACGACACAAGAGGTGTATGGAGCGAAGGCGACAATAAACGTGTGGGACCCTTCCATAGAAGTGGTCAACGAGTTCAGCCTCTCCCAGATTTGGATTCTTTCTGGATCATTCGACGGCTCAGATCTGAACAGCATAGAAGCTGGTTGGCAGGTACTCTTTCCAGTTCTGTCTCGAATAATGTTATTCAGCTGTAATTTAAGAATTGTTGTTATAATTCAACAGTTATATTAAATTAAGTTATTAAATTAAATCAACAGATTTAAATTCACGTAGCATTATTTGTCTATCTTTGTCCATATAAGTATTCAAGACTCTATATTAATATACTAGTTATTATCTGTGTCGGAAGGTAGAGAATAATAAAAAATGATAAACAATTAACATATTTGTATTCATATTCAAAATCAAATTACAAACATAAAGAAGAGATAAATGAATTTAAGTATCGGTTATAGAGGGGTTGAGAGGTGGTGGGCGACAGTGGTGGTGGTAGGAGGTGATGATTGTGGTGAGTGACAATGATTGTTGTGACGATGGTGGTGGTGGTGGTGGTAGTGCTGGTGGCGGTGATAGGGTGGTGGTGGAGGTGACGGTTGTGGTGGTAGAGGTAGTGATGAGATGGTTTCAAATATTATTTTTTTTAAAGTATTTATGAGAAATAATTCGTAGAAATATTTTTAAAAAGTCACTCCAAACATATCATTCGGGACTTATTTTTTTATTAAATTTATGGTGTTAATATTAGCCGTTAGATTAACTTTAAAGTAAAATTTAAAGTGATCTGAACCACGAAAAGCAAAAGTCATTTTGTTTATATTTTGAAATTTAAATTGTACATTACTTTATTATATAGATTAACATAAAATATATTGATTCCAAACAAGCATACTTCTATTATAAAATTAAAAGAGTTCATTTTCTGAAGCTTTGATACTTCCGCTAGTCAGGTTAGTCCGGAGCTTTACGGTGACAGCAGGCCTAGATTATTCACTTACTGGACGGTCAGATCTCTCTTCCTTGATTACCCACCTTCTTTTCTTTCGAATTTTTCAATTCCTTATACATATAAATATATACAAATGCATTGCATTTGGATCAAGAGATATCCATTGGAGCTAGGCTTATCAGTAGATTTAATTTAGCTGGAATTGTAGTAGAGTTGGCTATGAGATCCAAGTTAAATATCCAATTTAATATGATTCATCATGCTGCAATTTATTTTATTTTCACAGCTTATGTTAGAATCATTGAACAATTCAAAAATGCAATCAAAAAATTCGATTTGAAGAGCTCAATTAAGCTAAATTTTAAAAAGTTACATCTAATACTCAACTCAATTGTAGCAAATAATTACTCAAACTTATCATTTATTTGCATCCATATACACGCATATCCTAAGCAAAATGTGAGAACTAATAGAAACTAGACAGCCATTTTCATTGGACTTGTCATTCTCACTCGATGTTTCATTCTTCGGCTTGTTAGCCTCCTCTTTTTCTTCGTCATCATTTTTTTGACATAGTTATTTCATAGTGTTCAGGCTAAAAAAAATGCTTGGTTTAGCTTAATCGTGAAGGTAGCATGATTTTTACCCAAAAACGAAAAATCAATGAGGTGGTGAGAAGGGAAAGAGTGAACATGGCTTGTGTACTTCTTGTGAGTTCTAGGGGCTCATTAACCACAGAAAATGACAAGGGTGTGCCTTTTTGAATGGTTTTCCATGGCATGGGAAGGAGATGTGGTTCTTAATAATCAGTTTCCTCATTAACTCAAACTGACAAGTGACAGGGCAATCTCTTGGAGACCCAAAGAAAAAATTGTTGAAAATGTATTTATTTTCTTCTCAAGTATCTACGGGCCCAATTTGTTACATCTATAATACTATTAAAAATATTTTAACATGAAAATTTTTTGATTCTTTATTTTATCCTTATAAAAAATTATAAAGATCACTCTATCCTTTCACAATTAAATATCTAAATTATTTATTATCTCCTTATGTATTGAAATATGTAAATTATCTCTAACATATCTCTTAACTATCTATTCTGTTTATATAAAAATCAATTTCTATGAAATTTTTTGATGCATTATTATATTTTCAATAAAATGTTCAAAAACTTTTCAAAGTTCATAAATGTAATATTACTCATTTCATGTGCAAAGATAACATTATCCACATATATTTTTTTTTTTTTATTTTAAAATTTTAAACATTTTATTTCTAAGATAAAAAATAATTATTTTTTAAAATTAATTTATGCTATATCAATATAATTTTTTAGTTTACAATAAACTTTTTAAGTTGTATTAAGATTTTATGTGAAAATAGTTTGTAGCGTATTCTTAAGTAAAATTTGAATTTTTCAAAATTTTGATTAAAATATATATTATAGAGTATTATATTAAAGCTTATCCTAATTGACCTAACTAATTTTTAATTACAGTAAAGTGTCAATATGATTAATTAATTTATTGACAATTAATTTTATTTTATTCAAGAAATTATAAATGAAATCCTAATCGAATGAATTATAAATAATATATAATTTTATTAAAATTTGACATTTAATTGTTTTTAATTTATATTAATTTTTTTTCAAATTAATATTAAATTAATTTTTATTGTTATAAAATTAATATTGAAATTCATTTAATCAATTTTTTGGGTACTAAATTAAATTTTATTTGATTTTATTAAATTTTTAATTTTTTGGATATTAAATTTGGAGAAGGACAATTGTAAAAATAATAAAAAAAAAATTGGAATGAAATTATCAATTTATGTTGGCAACAGTAACAGATAGGGAGACAGGGGGTCTTCGTCCAATGAATTCAAACCACAGGTGGTTTTCGTGTTACTTATAAAATATCAGGAGGTGTCTGTGTAATATTTTCAAAATTCAGGGCTGATCATAATTTTTATCCCTCTTTTTTAAATAAATGTTATTTTATTATTATTTTATCTTGAAAACTTGAGCAGTTATTTGTTAGAAGAGTTTATTGGTAAACAAAAAAAAAAAAAAAACTTTGTGCGATGTGTGTTTATGTGTATATTTATATGTGAAAATTGAAAATTTGGTAATTAAATTTATAATTATATTATGTCATTTAAGGTTAAATGGTGATAGTGGTGATAAATTAATGAGTTTTATAAATGAGCAAGATTCGATTGATATTATTTATCGCATAAAGATTGTGAATTTAATTATGTTCTGTTAGTAATTTTTTTACTCGAGGTATTTATTACATGAGGATAGAGTGAATTTGAAATATGGTGAATGAGT